ACGATGTGGAGGAAGCATGTGCTGCATCCATTATATTTATAAACAAAAGACTCTGCATTCTTGGGCTAAATATTTCTCTTGTCCTCTTTACCCCTTGAAGATCCCAGCTACAGGGCTGCTGTGTCCATCTGGGGACCAGATTTGACAGGAAAGAGGAAGACAAGATTGGTGGAGTGAGTCAGCAACTAAATTCTGTTCCTTCAGATGTCAGCTCAGATATGTTAATCCTGCCTGCCTTATTAAACCACCTCTGAGTTTTCAATCTCTCTTGCTCTTTCTTCAGTTTCTGATGTTTCAGACAAGCATATACTGGGCTGTCCTCTTCTCTTGTTCATCGCTTACTATGCCCCATGGTGCACCTCTTGTGGGGTATTCGGATTTACAGGATTAGATAGCCTCCCCGCAGTTCCTCTTTGCTGCAAAGTTCCTCAGACTCTCTTAGCTTGCATGTGTCGTAAGGAGGTGGCTTGTTCTTGCAAGGGCTTTGCAAAAGATGAGCTAAGCGCTTTTCCTTTAAGGTTCCTCATGAAAGAACTGGGCAAGGAGAGAGAAGTTGGTGGTGCTCCCACCATCGAGTCATTTAACTCTCTAAGGCCACCAGAAGTGACATCTTGTCATGCCTCTCCAGTGAGATGTCCCCTAAACCCACGTGTGCCTGAGAGATGAGCTGAAGATCCCAAACCCGTTTCTTCCTAAAGGCCCCGACACAGGCTCAAAAATGGTGATGCTGCATGTGGGTCAGCTCCCTTCTCAACAGGGGCCTGAAGAGCCCACTTACAAGTGCTAGAGCAGGTCAAACCAGACAGAGAGAGAGAGTCACCATGATGGGAAGAATGTCCTTGCCAGGCACCTGGGTGTTGTAAGGTAAGAACAGAACATGCTAGGGGGCAGGGTGGGGACAGGGTCAAAGGGATGGCATCCCGCTCCAAAAGAGGGGGAGGAAGCAAGCTGCTTGCCTCCACCTGAACGCAATCAGAGCAGGAAAGAAAGGTTTTGTTGCTGTCTGCTGTCAACATCCAGTGTGTCGGGGTTGCCCCTGGCTGTTCCTTTTGGGAAGTGAGTAGGAGGTGGGCGGGCCCTCATTGGAATGGAAGGTTCTGTTTAGGTTGATGGGCTTTCCATTAAGCAGTGCAAAAAAAAAAAATCACAGGTGCACAGCGGGTGTCTTAGCAGCCTCATCTCTTGGGCAACAAACCCCACAGGCAGCCTCTCCTCATAGGAAGGTTCTTTGAATCCAAGCGTCTTCCCCTCCTGTTTGATTCAGGGTCTCCCAGAAAAAGCTGTTTTTTTTTAAATCAGCAAACGGAGGAAAAAATAAAATCCCTCGTGCCCTGCCCCCAAGGAGCACAGGCTGTGGCTTTCCAGGACCAGGTCAGTGCGGGGACAGCTTTTGTGTTTCCATCCACTCATCTGTAACCACCTGGGAGGATTGGTGAAATGGTATAAAACCTCCTCGAATGTAACAGTGATGTCTGGAAAAATGAGTGTCTCAGAATGACTACCAAAAATAAAAAAATCAAGAAACTACAGACCTGGCATGTCAGAAGAAATACACAGACCCTCTGGTAGCTTGTACTAATATCTTTTTACTTTCATATAGCACCTGTGTGTTATGAAGGTTCCCAGAGTCATTTACACAATATATCAGGGATTCTAACCAAGACCTTGCATATTCTGGTGCAAGCGGGATCTGAATTCTGCACCAAAGCCCCTGGATTCTGGTGCAGCATGTGGGAATTCTGTAGCAGCCTCATTTCTACTTCATATGACAAGGGGAGAACACGTTCATGCGCTTGATTGGGGTGGGTGGCACCTATGTGACCAGTGTGGGAATCAGCGTGGGTGCTGTGGTTACCAGAGATTAGAGGCAGATGCCGGAGCTGAGGGACCCAGAGTTTTAGAAACAGTAACTCCTCTTGAATTGATTTTCTCTCCACCCCCTTAACTCTCATTTGCCAGCTTAATAGTTTGTAGTTCTTTCCAGTTGTAGGGAATGCTTTACATGCAATTTAGCAGCACAGCCGCCATGCAAGGCAGCTAACTATTGTTCCCAGATTACAGATGGGGGTAACCGTGCCACAGATTAAGCAATTTGCCCATGGGCATACAATGATTCAATGATGGAGCCAGAAATAGAGCCTAGGAGTCCAGGTTCTCAGTTCTCTTGCTGTAACCATTAGATTATACTCCCTTCCCAGAGCCAGAAGTAGAACCGGAGAGTCCTAGCTCCCAGTAGTTTGCTCTGATAGATCACCTTGCCTTCTAAAATAATAGTCAATATTATGGACGATTAGTCACAGGCTAGATTTTTAATTTTGGTAAAGAATCTGATTCTAAGACTAGTGTGTAACTTTGATGTCTTTAAGAAGCCCTTGACCTTTTCAGCTGTGCTGGTACAGCTCAAAAATTGACCTGTGTGGACTTTTCAGATTTTAACTCAGGAGGCAGGGGGGACGGAGGAGAGATAATGCCTTGGGCAGAGATTGTGCATTTAAGTTTTAGCCCAGAGCAGATTTTTACAAGCAAATGACAAATTCTTGAATGCAGGAGTTTCCAACAGGACTTTCTGACAACCTTGAGCTGTAACAGTGCAAAAGCAACTCTGTGACCTCTCTAAATATAGATTTAGATATTTATAAATCTAATGCTTGTGCACACAGCATTCAGCAGGACATAAACCGCTCCAACAAATTGTATTTACCTCCAGCATGGAAACAAAGACTTGATTCCATCACACACACTTTTATTTATATACCAGTTGCCCAGCAAGGAGACGGAGCTGGGAAGGAAAAGAGGGCACTTCCTCTTCACATTGGATCACTGCAATTCACTGGGGACTTCTCCTGGGCTCCCATTCACCCTTTTCTGAAGCTCTCTCTCTTTTTTAATTTATATATATATATATTTTTTTTTGTAGGCTGTCTGCGTCTTGTTTTATAGACCCTGAATATGTACATATAAATATGCACATTTCACAGTCGTGTGGTCTACTTCCACAAGAATAACAGACGGCAACTTTATGATCTGAGTGATTTTATTTGAACACAGCTGTGGCCTTATGATTTAAATATTTCAGTCAATTTTAAACTAACTAGACTAGAGGAAACTGTGCTGGGAGAGCAGGTTAGAGCTGGAACGGACATGGAAGGAAGGCCTCTTTGGGAGATTCTAGATCAGTGGCTCTCAACGTGCAGCCCAGCTATGTGCTAAAGGGCAGTGGGGTCCAGGGCCGGGGCTGCTGCCCGGCCCCCTGCAGCAGGATCTGGGGTTGGGCTGGGCATAGTGGTGTGTGTGTGGGGTGCTGTGGTTTTCAACCTGCGGCCCAGATAACACTGCAGTCCACAATGATTAATAGGTTGAGAACCACTGTTCTAGATAGACTCCTCCTTGTCTAGCCCTCCTCCCGCCAGAAGCCCCTTGACTCTTTCCTTGCTTGTAATGTTTGCCCAGTCTTGCCCTCTCCCTCTTCCTCCAGAGGTGCTCTTGAAGGCTGTCAGGCTCCGAGGGGAGTCACTGGCTAGGGAAGGAGTTGCTGAAGGTTGGAGTGTCAGGTCCCTGCTGGATAAAACCCAGCCCGCAGCTGTGAGTGAGGTGTCCCCCCCCCCCCCCCCTTCAGGGATCCCTGCATCTCTGAGCAGCTGGGTGTGAGAGGTGTTTGAGGGGCTTTTGGATTCCTCTCTGAGCTGCGCAGACACCCTGGTTTTGGGTTTAAAAGCCTGTAGAGTCTCTTGCGGGGGGGAAAGCTGCAGGAGCAGTCCGCAAACTCTGGCTGTGCACTCAGTTTTGACAATTTGATTGTTTCAAGTGGTGATGAATTTGGTTTGTTGCTCTACATTGTCAGATCACTTTTCCAACGTGCGGGGATACGTGTGTGTGTGTGTGTGTGTGTGTGTGTGTGTGTGTGTGTGTGTGTG